AAATAATAATAGTGATTCCACGAACCCTTATCTTTGCTTTTTTTCTTTGGCAACAGAGGGGCGAGTGTTTTATATGAAATACTATCAACATCTATTCTCTCCGTAAAAGGAGCTTATATAGCGCCTAGGTTCCTTTAGTTTTCCAATTATCGTACAGTTATTTTGTTGAACGCTAGTAAGGGTACGCCTGTGATAAGGTTGAGCGATGGATCAGGAGAAGGGATGATGGAGCTATTGATAGCAATGAGATTGCTCTGACTCTTATTTTCCTTGATAGTTTATGAGAAATTCCATGTGAACAATTTATGATTTTTTATTTTCCCAGTGCTTTTTTTTATATCTAACCCATATTTATAATAATCTTAATAGAACCAAGACTAGTGTTAAAGATGAATAAAATATATTCCTTTGAAAGCTTTAGTTACCCTCCCATGATGCCCGTTCCGTCACCTTGCGTGCCTTTCGTGGAGTTCGTCCTGCAGGCGATCGATCACCCACCTCACATGTTCGTTTCCAAGTTGGCTGCCTGCTGCGCTGTTCTGTTTCTCACCCGATCGGATCCTCAACTGCTGCGTTCGCTCTGCTATCGATGGGCTGCGCGCTTCGCGAGGGATCGCGCGAAGCTCATCTCGGCGATCTATCGCCGCGCGGAGCGGAGAGGGTTGGCAACGGGGCTTTCCGAAACCCAGTTGGATGGTGGATCGCAGCCGGATCCGTCCCCCTGCCAGGTGGAGAGCCCTTGCGATGCTTCAGGTGAAAGGGGAAGCATGTCGATTAACGTCTGTAATCCAGACGAAATGGTGGATTACTTCTTACGCATTCTGAACTCCCTTGCGTATATTTACTTCTCATGGAATTGGGATTGCGCGCAGTATATTGTGCAGATCAACGAGGAGTACGAGATCGCGCTACGGCATACCATCTTCCCGATGTGCATCGCCACCGCCGCCGAGGATGGTGTTGATGATGAGCCGAAATCCTGCTTTCTCCTGCCATCGTGTATAAAAAATCTGAGGTCGGATGCGGCGGCTTCGTTCACAGCCTCCGTATCCACACCTTATGCTTTGTGGGAGGGCGAGAGGGAGGAGGAGGAGGAGGATGACGACGACGAATCGGAGACGGAAATGGCGAAAACACGACGGCCGGATAACTCGCGGACGCTGGAACCGCCGGGCCTTAGCGGCGAGGCCCCCACGATGCACACCTCCTCGGAAGGGGAGGAGAACCTCGGGGGGAATCCCCTCTCCACCAAACCGAGCTCCCAGGCGCCGCCGCCGACGGATGATCCTGCTCGTCCAACCCCCCCATCGCGCCCCCTTCCCAACGCGAATGAAACGCGGGATGGGGGTTGGTGCGCGCGCGATGAAGTCGCCTCCGGAGGGGTCTTGCCGCGCGAGGGGAAAGGCGCGGCGGTGAAACGGGGTCGTTTGACGTTTTTAACCCTCAGTAACTTTGAAAAATGCCTTCAGTCGAATACGACCGGCCTGATCATTCTCTTTCACGCCAAGCATTCGACGCGGAGTAACGAGGCGCTACGGGTGTTGGAGGACCTGGCGCGGCAGAAACCGGTGGATCCGATGCCCGCCATCTCCGTCGTCTACGCCGTCGCCGAGCCGGAGTTGGCGAACCGGTTCGACGTGTGTTGGTTTCCCACCATCGTCTACCTGCCGGCGAACCCTGCTGGAGGAGGGGGGGGCTCCGGGGAGGCCGACCCCCCGTTAGGGGCCCCCCCTCTTCCTCGTCTTTCCACCGCTTTCCCGCCCTCCTCGTCGGCCTCCCCTCCCCTGCCGTCGCTGTTGGCTTCTCGTGGGGAGGAGGGGGGGGGGGGGCCGGCGATGCCCCTCCTCCCCTCCACCATGCGGCTCATCGTGGAGTCGCCGACGAAGGTCCTCTACGGCCTCGACGCGCCCAACGGTTGCTTCCCTTTCCACCCCACCGTCGCCTTAAAGGGAAAAAAAAAGGAAAGGCGAAAAGGAAAAGGGGAGGAGGAAGAGGAAGAGGAGGAAGAAGAAGAAGAAGAGAGGGGGCTCGCGACCTCCGCATCCGTTCAGAGGCATGTGAAGTACCCAATGGAGGGCGTCCTCGGCCGGGCGGATCTCACGCGATGGATCGCCTCGGAAGGGCGTTGGACGCCCCAGGTGGTACGACCGAACACCCCGGTAACGGAGGTCCTGACGTTGCGGGAGGATGAGAAGTTCAAACCCCCTGGCGGGCCCCACTCCGGGATTGGGATGCTGCGGGAGCTGCAGCAACGGGAGGAGGCGGGGCCGTCCGCCGTGGAGGGCGGGGAGGGCCCTCAATTCATCTTCTTCGGAGGCGGCATGGCGGCGGGGAAGTCGACCACCGCGATGGCGCTCTCCCAGACCCCATGGTGGGCAGCCCACAAGGGCGAGATCGAGCTTATTAACGCGGACGACTTCAAATCCTTCACCCCGGGGCGGAGTTTCCCCACCTCGGAGGAGCACCTTCGCAGCACGCGGGCGGCGGAGCGGGCCATCGTGGAGGCTTTGAATCGTGGCCGCAGCGTCGTCTACGATGGGACGATGATGTGGGCGCCGTTCATCCAGCAGCTTGTCGAGATGATTCGCGGGGCGCGGACGACGTGGTATGAACAAGGGCCCGGATATTTAGGGGAGGGGAAACCAGAGGTGTATTTCATCCCGCATCGTCCGCGCGAGCAGCCGCTGCCGAGGCCTTATGTCATCCATTTTATGGGGATCACCGTTGAGCCGCAGGTCGCGGTCCCACGTGGGTTGCTACGGAAGTTCGAAAGTGGACGTGGGGTGCCCATCGTGATTCAGTTGAACTCGTTTAAACTCTTTTCGAAGAACTTTGTGAACTACACGAAGATGATGGATCTGGTGACGTTGTACAACAATAACGTGATTGTGGATCTGACGAAGGGAGAGCTGCCCCCGATTCTCGCGGAGCAGAGCGAGTCTACGAATGGGGAGTTGAAGATCCACGATGAGGCGGCGTATGAATTGTTCCAAAGGCAACAACATCTAAACATTCGTGCTCGTAATGTTATGGAAATTTATCCCAATAACGACTTTTTTTGAGATGTGCTTAAACGTCACTATATCATTGGATACAACTCCATGACGTGTCTCTTCTATCCTGGTTTCTCCTCGCAAGGATGGTAATGGAGAAATGCATTAATTAAATGGAGCTTCATTATTGATGATGCAGGTTCCATATTGCTGAATGGAAACAACAGTGGCTAAAGGATGGAATAATCAAACCATGTCTCTGGAGATTGACATTTTGGGCAGAAAATGTGAAAGGAGTGCTGTGCATATTTTCCATATAACTATATATCTCTCTCTCGTTTTTCACGTTATTGTTATTGGAGCTCGGAGTATAACCGTAATTTCTAAGCGTTTAAAAGACAAGGCAAGTAAATTTTATTTCCTTATTTTTCTCAGCTTGTTTATTTGGACCTATAAGTGCCTTTTACAAAGCTAACCTTTTCATATTAACATTCCCTTCCTTTTTATATTTGCAATTACATCTATTCAAACGGATTGGTATGGGATTGTCAGCATTGTGTCGTACTAATGACGAAGAAAGAAAGGTGCTTTTGAGTTTGCAATGTACTCATAAACTAGATGCTCATATTCCGTGATTTGACTAGTTGTTTATGTATTCACTTTTCTTACATCAAAATTATAACTATGACTTGTTTAATTAAGTAATTTTCCTGTTAAGGTTGCTAATATGGGTCGCAACTTTTCCGACGAAAGGTGGAGGGGTGGCTAACACATGACATCTTTTTATGAGTAGCTAACTTTACTCCCTGAAACGATGTTCTTTACCACTCAACATTGGTGTAGGTCAAAATTCTTAGACGCGTTGTTTCACCTTTCCTTCACATTCCGTGAATTTTACAGTGCCAGTCCTCCCGCCCCATTCGTCTTGCTATCGCGGAGGGACAAATACAAGTGATTACATTCACAAATAGAAAACTAGTGCATTTCGATGTCCAGTCTGGCGGTAAAGCGTGCAATGCGAGACTTTGATGTTCTCTCTCGCGTCTGCGCCACTGGGGAGGATCCGTTTCTCGTTAGTATTTCCCAACAGGATGAAGATCTGTTTCATTGGTGCGTAGTGATTAACCCGCCGCCCGAAAGTGTCTACGCCGGGATTTCCTACGAGCTCCTGTTGAGCCTATCCCCAATAAGTTATCCTATTGAGCCGCCGTCTATTCGGCTGCTCACCCCGATCTTCAATCCTATTGTTTCCGCGGAAGGGAAGATCTGTGAAGGGCTTCTAGCAAGTTTAGATTGGAAGCCGACCAAAAAGCCCACAGATGTGTTAAAACTCATCGTGGAATCGATTTTTTTGAATTACAAACGCTATGATGTGCTCAACGAACGGGCCGCAGAGCTTTTGTACATGGATGAGAAGAAGTTCATCGAAGAAGTCCGTTTACATAAAATGAATATCGTAGGAGGACAAGGAAACACACCAATCCTCTAAAACGTCTTCATTTCCTTAGTTATTGTTGAACTGAACTTCATGGTTGTCCGATTAAGCCCGACCTCTAGGTGTGTTTACACAATATTTCTCATAAATGTTGGAAAAGTATTTGGGACATTTCCTCGCGCTTTATACGGGTAATATCAAAATAAATGAAGGATTGCTATGTTTTTTTTTTACATAACTGACTTTCAATTATACTTACGTCTAAATCATCTTAATTTTATGTTTTTTATAGAGAAGTATTAAAGAGGTTGAATGATAACGTATCGCGGGTAAATTCTCAGGCAACATCGCATGGAGGATTAGATATGGGCAGTTGGGTGAAAGCTTGTTTACCTATCAACATTTGTATAAATGCACGATGGTGTTAATTTTGTTGTTGTTGTTGTTGTTGTTGTTGTTGTTACCTGTTATTGACCCTTCTCTCACCTCCCCCTTGTTACCATTTTCGCTATTGCGTATGACGTCCCATAAGTGACCTTTTTTCAGTGATCAAAGTTTAAATATGAGTTCTAAACAACAAAAAAGTGAAATGTTTATCATAATACTTAAATAGGAACGTGAGGGTGATTCTGCCTTTTATACCTACCCGTTCGGACTGGGAGTAGCTTCAATGAGAAAGTAGCTAGAAACAAGGTTTCATTAAATGGTTTCATCGGCAGAACTCACCGGTGTATCGACTTTGCCCGCGTGGGCATGCGAATTTCTCTTCTTTCTCTTGTCTTCCCTTTCCTTTCCTTTTCCTTCTTGTTTTTCCTTTCGGAGTTTTGGTTTTGGCTTGTCTGTTTTATGAGGCGCCACGCGAATCCTTCCGCGCTCGTTGGGGGGTGGGGTCGACTGCGTGGCGGCTTTCGCCCCCCTCACCCGGCCGCCTCGCGTGGGGTCGTCCAGTCGAACACCGCCGGCGGCCTCCGCGGCCTTCTCGACCGCTACGACGACCACGCACGGGTGAAGCGGCTGCGGCGGAATGGCGGTGGGAATTTCTACCGCTACCAACACCGGCTGTGGGCGACCACGACGGCGCTGGAGCGGGACTTAACGACGCTGCACCACGACGCGGTCGCGCGGATGCCCTTGGGGCTGCTCCCGGCTCCGAGCG